ATTTATGTTACAATGATTTCTGTTTGAAATAAATGCTGTTCTTTTGAACTTTCTATTCATCAGATAATCCTGAAAAATATATACGTTTCGATATTGATATAATTTCTTGTTTTATAGTTTCTTGAGCAGCAAATCAGCATATTAGAATGATTTCTGAAGGATCATGTGACACTGAAGACTGGAGTAATAGCAGCTGAAAATTCAGCTTTGCATCACAGGAATAAATCACATTTTAATATATATTCTCATAGAAAAGCTACTTTGGAGCATGCTTTACAGCAGAATTGAGTGTTGTTTGCATCATTGAATCACTGTTTTCTTGTTTATCACTAAAGCTGCTTTGAAACAGTTTGTATTGTATAAAGCGTTGCATAAAAAAAGGTGACGACTTTAAATTGTAAAAATATTTCACAATATTACTGTTTTAACATATTTGTATTTTTAATCAAATAAATACAGCCTTGGTGAGCAGAAGAGACTTCTTTCAAAAATATAAATACAAACATTTTAAAATCTTCCTGGCCCTAAACACTAGTTTAAGTGGCATTTTAATATGTTTCATGAGTGTTTCTGGCTCATGAGTCGTGATGCTGTCATTTGTTTGCTTTGCCCTTCATGTGCAGAATAACCTGAGATAAAGCAAAGAATAATACATTTTAAAATGTGTTAACAAATTGTGCACTTGAGCAAGGCAGTGAACCCCTAATTGCTCCCCGGTCGCCGCAGCAAAAATGGCTGCCCACTGCTCCGGGTGTGTGTTCACGGTGTGTGTGTGTGTGCACTTGGATGGGTGAAATGCAGAGCACAAATTCTAAATATGGGACACCATACTTGGCCACACGTTACGTCACTTTCACTTAATATGAATACTTGTCCTGGAGAGGAAGTGTAAATAAAATTATATGAAAATATGTAGTCCCCCTTTAAAAAAAAATTTTAATCAACCAACAGTGTTTAGTTTACATTGCAGCCTGGCAAAGCAGCATTTGGATATAATATAGAACTCATACTATTAGAGTGATAAGTTTTAGTAGAACAGCTTGGTAAATATGTAGGCTAATATATATATATATATATATATATATATATATATATCACAAAGTTGTAATAAAGAGTGACTGATGAATCCCACTGTGCTGGAGCTCATACACTCCTGAGAAATGCAGGTGGGACGAGGCCGTGATGCCTGCTGCTGCTGCTGCGGTTTTCAATAGGACCAAACGCTTCTCTGTTTCTCCCTGCAGTGGTTCTGTGCTGTCCTGTCTATCAGTGCTAACATTATGCTAAGCCCTCCAATCTACCCTTTATATATATATGGTTGCCATAGCAGCATTATTCCTGGGGAGTAGCAACTTCAAATGATTGTAGAGGCTTTTGGGGTTTGAACCTCTCAAAAAAAAATGTGTGTATGTGTGTCTTTGAGAAAAAAGAGATGAACTGTGATTATGAAACACTTTTTATTGTATTTATGCAAATGTGCCAGATGTGTCAGATTTTCCATTCAGACGGTCAGAGTTCTGCCAAGTGCCTGTTTTTTTTTTTTTTTTTAAATAGTTACCAACATTCACACCATAATTATTATTTTTTTGGCTAACCAAACCTCAAATTTCAGCTGACTGGTCATCTTTTCTGTCCTTTTTTTTGACCAGTTTCAAGTAAATATTTAGTCAAATAGATGCCATTTTTTTATTGCCTGTCTAATGCCAGCAGTAAACTTCATGTGCCAAATGTAAGATTCCGCACAGACTCCAGCGAGGATGATGCAGCTGAGGAAAGATTTGTTTGTTTTTCTGCACAAGTCTGTAGCGTTTTCTTCTTCTCTCATTTCTGAATATATGAGGGGCTCCATCCCTTCTTCTCTCTCTTCATTTTCTGCCGCTCACTTTGAAAGGAAATCTCCAACCCAATGAGTGAATGAAAAAAAAAAGGCTTTTGTGTTGCTGAAAGGCAGCATTTCAGAACTTTAGCGTTGAGGTTCCCCCACTGATTCTGCCCACACAGATTTTGACAGAGCGAGGGAGGGAGGGAGATCCGGTTGACGGTGCAGAAACATTAAACAGCATATGGGTGATTCAGCTCATTAGAGCATCTGTGTGTTGTACAGACTAGTCCACTGAATGATGAGCTCATTTACACACACACATCACATGCACGTACGCACACCGTATAGTAATTGTGCACGCAGAGCTTTGCAAATGTGTGTGCATGTTTGTGTGGGTTCACACACTTTGCAAATTGCTTAATGGGGACATTTTGCAACTTTTATTTTATTGTGGGAGACACCATTTAACAGATCCGGGGATCATTACCCAAATTTACAAGTTACGCACAGATAAATTAAATTATGCGAAATTGAGTTTACAATTGTTTTAAAACTTCTGGATGACCAGCCGTGCACATAAAACTGGCATCCTTCCAGGATTTGAAGAAAAAAAAATGTGACCATGTTCCAAAGTTCTCTCCTTTAAAACCCTTAATTTGGTCTCTAAATAAAACACATTTATTCATACAGGCTATTAATTATTATTCAAATATTTATTATTATTTTAAAAGTGCAAGATTATAAAACTATTATAAATATAAAATGAAAATAATATATATTGAGATTAGGAATGTTTTAAATGCCCACCGCCCCCTTTCGTGACTATTATGTTACATTTTTGATTTCACAATATTGAGCCACAGCCGGTAAAATATACTGAATATGTCTAAATGTATACCTATAAAATATTTAAAATAAATCACATCTGTAAAACATTTTAGATTAAATATATTTTGTTTGTTTTTTTAAAAAAAGGTGAGTGGCGGTGAAATGTTGCGCTGAAACACCTCTAAAAGTAAGAGCAACATTTTCAAACCGAAAAGTATTTACTCATAAGATTTCGTTTGAAAACAAGTTGCTATTACTGATTTACTTGTTAAACAACCTCCATGTAAAAGTATTTTTTGAAACAACCAAACAATCTGGTTTTAATTTTAAAATCATAAAAAGTTATTAAAATGTAAATGGCCCTTCAAGACAGACTGATGTCATGCTGCTTTTGTTTTTTTACATGATAAGCCAATTTAGAAGCCTACCTTTTGAAAAGTTTGAAATATGTTCAAAACGGTTCACTGGGCGAAAGATTATGACATGCTCATGATAATTGATTTAATGAATCTATTTTGAATTCATTTACAGGTCACTTGTTAAGAGACCATGTGTTGGCTGACATTTAAACCTTATTTTATTTAACGTCCATCTTGAGAAACATGACAGGAAATATAGCCTATAATAAAGCCACGTTTGTCTTGAACATTTATTGTTTTTTAATAAATCTCAACGCAAAATAATTCTGAATTCTGAATGTCCTTTTATCATGTGAGCCTGAGATATTTTAATTGACTATTGGAGTAAATGTTTTTTAAATATTCATGAAGTTGTTGTGCTCTTTAGAAAAGGCGAAAGGGGTCAGTTGTTCCATTCTAACCTCTTGACATTGTTGATTTTATACTCATGGCATAGCGGCGTCTCTCCGTCTGTGTATGTCACCAATTCAACACTCGCCACGTAAATGTGTCTAAAGGTTAGATATCCTCTGAAGAGAAACAACTCATCCACAATGGAGAGACTCCCCATCTCACTGCCGTTGTCAGGACAACCCGAGCGTATCCGTGTCCATAATAAGTTTCAGTTCAAAGCCGGTGACTTCGGCTACCTCTTTACAACACTCTCATGTCCCTTCCTTCCTTCTCTTTCACTGCTGATTCTGAGACCTAAGGCTTGAGCCCTTGTCCAAATAAGCTATAGACAAAAGTGTTGGTTTTCGGAGACGCTGAGAGAAGGAGATGTGTTTTCCTATTAGGCTAACTCTAATTCTGTCAGAGATGATACAACCCATCGAGGTCGAATACTTCTTAAAATGGGTTAGATTAAGATAAAATATCAAATGTCATTACAATGAGTTCCTATGAACACTGTGTGGGATTCGAATTAAAAATAATTTGTAACATGTAGCCTATAATTGTAATAATGCTACTCTCGCAAAAGTTATCCATAATTATCTGTTTCACACAGCTCAAAACGTGACTTTACAAAACATACAAAAAATATTTATTCATTGGAAAAAAACGATTTTGCGAAATTGTAAAATGGTTAAGACATTTTCGTTAAATATGCGATTTATAAAGATCAACTTAAAAGCAAGCGTTTTATGCAGCTGTGCATTTTGGTGATTCCCGAACAAAATATTTACAAAAACGAGGACGAAGTCAACACTGACATGGTGCAGGTCTCCATAACGCAATAGCGCACACTGCACAAGTCTGCACCCATGACATAAACATTAAAATCTCATTCACTGATGTGCTATAGCCTACCTAGGAGACGTTAGTTTATAGTAGAAAGCTTAGAATTAGAATGAGCTCATAAATGAAACTTCCACTCAGGACAATATTAAATGTCACAGTGAGCGATTTATCGAATCTTTTCAGTCGAGAAAGATGTTTTACAGAAGTAAATAAGAGAAACCTACAAATGTATGTGATAATTTACTAAACCGATGTGTTTAATACAGTTACTAAATTCAAACCAAGTAATAGCCTAATAATAAATAATATTGTACCACAGTGTTTAGTACTTCATTCATTTCCCCCCCTCACGTCAAGCACAGATTGTTCTCTCGTAAACGCATAAAACTGGGCGGAGCCACAAAAACCGTCAGCCTTGATTACTCACGGTGAGTAAACGTTTGATTGGACGAGTGAACAGGATTTGGGAGTTACACAGACCAATGAGATTCTTAGATTTGGGAAACGGGGTTACAGTCGTGAGGGGGCGTGGGGTGCCCTGGAGAGACCCCAGAGATAAGCGCAGTCAGGAGCGCAAAAACACTCAGTTGGATACACGACGCACAGAGAACCTGCGCAAGCGCTACAAGTTTCACTTTGCGCGCACGAATTGTACCGATGTACACATTTTGTACATTTCTGCAGCTTTTCCATCGTGTCAAAAGGATTTATTTGATTTGACTCTAACTTCATCACTTGGTAGGCTATGAGTTTTAATTAACCGTATTACGGGCAATTAACAGCCACTCAGATTTTTATATCATACTTTTGTTTTCGTTTTAAACTCGGGTGTAGTCGCATCGTGTAATCAAAAACCGTTGTGATGTTACTAGATGCCGGCCACCAAATATCTGGTTTAGGGGTTGGCACGTTCACAAGGCATCACTCGGCTGTGAGCGAGACGCAGGACAGAGATATGAGTTTCATGGAGTCGGCACACATGGGCGCGTTCAAACTGAACCACCCCGATTTGTCCCCGGGCCAGAGCGCAGCGTTTGCGCCCCAAGCAACCAGCTATTCCGCGGCCGCTCTTGGAGCGCATGCGGCGGCGCACGCTGCCTCGTACGCCAGTTCCACGTTTAACTCCACCAGGGAGTTTCTCTTGCGCAGCCGAGGTTTTGGGGATTCGACTCCGGGCAGCGGTCCACTAGCAGCACGGGTCCCATCACGGCTCTCCAAACATCCTAAACGGACGCCTTGGAATACCCGGTGAGGTTTTCGGGCGAACGGAGCAGTATCACCAAGTGCCAAATGCGCGGGCCGATCCTTACAGTCAGTATGGCCTAAATATGAGTATGAACATGACGCACCATCCCGGCGCATTCTTCCGCTACATACGACAACAGTGCATCAAACAAGAGCTCATTTGTAAATGGATCGATCCGGAGCTTGGTGACCCCAAAAAATGCTGCAGCAAAACTTACAGCACCATGCACGAGCTGGTCACACATATGTCCACGGAGCATGTCGGTGGGCCAGAACAGTGTAACCACGTCTGCTTTTGGCAGGACTGTCCACGGGAGAGCAAGCCATTCAAAGCAAAATACAAGCTGGTGAATCATATCCGAGTGCACACGGGAGAGAAACCCTTCGCGTGCCCCTTCCCGGGATGTGGCAAGGTGTTCGCGCGCTCAGAGAATCTGAAAATACACAAACGGACACACACAGGTGATTATTTATCGATGTTCTTTTAAATACGACCTTTTATTTAATAATGCAGTAGGCCTACTTGAGTTTAAATTGTCATTTCAGTACCAAATCCAGAACTCTGACCTTGCTCTTCAGTAATGTCACACAACACTGTCTCCAGTGTTTGTTACACACTGGTGTCTCAGTAGTCAGTGGACAAGTTAGTTTAAGGTTAGAAATCCTATAGTGATTTTATAATTAAAAACTGATGCTTTTGTAAGTGTGAATTGCTCTAAATTTGAATGCGTAATTTGGTTGCGCATTATCCCTTTTGCAGCATCAAAATCAGCCCACTTGTTTGAGAGAGTAATCGTAATAGTAGCATTCATCGATTCTGCGTGCTAAAGTTCTAACCAGCGTGTAAAACATACATCTAAATAGAAAATATTTTTGTCTTTCAGGAGAAAAACCGTTCCAGTGTGAATTCGACGGCTGCGACAGACGTTTCGCCAACAGCAGTGACCGGAAGAAGCACATGCACGTTCACACGTCTGACAAGCCATATCTGTGCAAACTGTGCGACAAGTCTTACACTCATCCCAGCTCTTTAAGGAAACACATGAAGGTGAGAATTCAATCCATCTGACAGCTATTCTTTGTTCACCAATCTGTTGGTTTAGTCCGAATGAACTGATTCTAACTGTTTGATGCCTTTTGCAGGTTCACGAGGATCAAGGTCCGGTGGTCGACTCCTCTCCTGCTGGAAGCTCCGGGTACGAGTCCTCCACTCCCTCCAGTTTGATCTCTCCGTGCTCGGAAACGCACAGCACCATGTCGCCGGACTCCGCCGCGCTCAACAGCAGCGCCCACAGCAGTTTAACGTCCAATTTTAGCGAGTGGTACGTTTAAGGACCTCGCCAGAAACTGCATATAAAAGGAAATATTATTTGTAAATAGTGAATGAGGGTTTATGTTCTCAGCATGTCTAAGATTCAGTGTTGCACTGTGACTGAAGTAAGCCGGAAAAGTATTATGTGATTAAAACGAAGGCTGTTTTCTTATACGAAGAATAAAATGTCCTTTGGTAATTTTCCAAAGACGAAGGATGGATGCATATTTCTCTGGCAATAAAGCTCATTCTGATTCTGATTCTTCTTAAAATAATATGAAATCCTTACGGTCAATATGGCCTAAATATGGGTATGAACATGGCGCACCATCCCGGCGCATTCTACCGCTACATGCGACAACAGTGCATCAAACAAGAGCTCATTTGTAAATGGATCGATCCGGAGCTTGGTGACCCCAAAAAATGCTGCAGCAAAACTTACAGTACCATGCACGAGCTGGTCACACATATGTCCACGGAGCATGTCGGTGGGCCAGAACAGTGTAACCACGTCTGCTTTTGGGAGGACTGTCCACGGGAGAGCAAGCCATTCAAAGCAAAATACAAGCTGGTGAATCATATCACTGTGACTGAAGTAAGCCGGAAAAGTATTATGTGATTAAAACGAAGGCTGTTTTCTTATACGAAGAATAAAATGTCCTTTGGTAATTTTCCAAAGACGAAGGATGGATGCATATCTCTGACTGTATAAATGTTTTGAAGTAAGGTCGTATCAAGTTACGGTGTTTGAACACAATATTTCTGTCAAATAGTGAATGAGGGTTTATGTTCTCAGCATGTCTAAGATTCAGTGTTGCACTGTGACTGAAGTAAGCCGGAAAAGTATTATGTGATTAAAACGAAGGCTGTTTTCTTATACGAAGAATAAAATGTCCTTTGGTAATTTTCCAAAGACGAAGGATGGATGCATATTTCTGACTGTATAAATGTTTTGAAGTAAGGTCGTGTCAAGTTACGGTGTTTGAACACAATATTTCTGTCATGTAGAATATTAGAGCTATTTGACGTTACGCGATTGTCTTACCATAAAAGTATTAACGGGGATCCTAAGTGCCGAAGTCAAATGTAGTGCGTTAAAATGGACACAGTTCTGTGAATGTATTTTATTGTATTATTTCCATGTATGTTAGGCCTACACATGTCCGGAAATCATCCACTTCGAGTAATTTTGAGAAAAGCCTCTTGTTCCTAAATTATGGTATAGCTTATTATGTTTGATTAAAAATACAAAATATTTATGATAAACTCCTCGGCTAAAATATGTACAGAATTGTTACCTTTAAAATGTTTGTACATTGTTATTCAGTTTTAAGATGTAAATTCTTGCAATAACTAATGCCAATCCGTAAAATGAAGGAAAATATATAAAGACAATAAAATGAAATCAAAAATAAAACCAAAAGTCTCATTCGTTAATTTACAATTTATAATGATAAGAATTGTATATACAATTGATTTTTAAAAAAATTTTCACATCATGTTAGACTACATTCACAAACACAAATGGCCTGAAAGTCCTCATATAAAAGTAGGCCTATACTCGTGTCCTCAAAAACGTTTCAGGGAGTAGAGAGGCCTAGCTGTATGATTGCCTTTACATTTTCAATAAAATAGAAATTAGGCATACATGGTTATTTTCACCATCCTTTGCAGCACTCGTTTTCTGGGTGTTTAATTTCAGGGAAGTGTGTCAATACAGAACAAAGAAATAATAATAATAATAATAATAATAATAATAATAATAACGTGATGAATAATTGTACCTACTTGATATGTTCGCAAATGGAAACCATTTTAAAACAATACATGCCAAAAAAATAAATCTTTAATAACTGCCACCCATTTTGATCAAATATTTTAAATAATCTTTCATGCATAGTCATACTTTAGGGATTCGTGCAGATGCAATAGCATAGTCTTCAAGGTCACGACGGTTTTTTATCAGCAACCTGTCGTCCAACTTTCAGTTGTTGTCTTCCCCGGTCCCCCCTCTTCGGGCACATTTCGGTCTCTGACACATCTGATTGGTCGGGAGGGCAAACACCCCCAAATTATGTGTGTTACGTCATAAGAGCGCGCCGCTCTGCTCTCCGCAGTTACCGCTATCATGGCGGCTTACAGAAGCGCTGCAGGTTTTCAAAGAGTTTTGCATGCTGTTAAGGTGAGCTTTAGTATTTGAAGTCGCTGCATGATGGAAAACAATTCATATAACGAATCTAATGATTTGTCTAATGATTTGATTTGCCATGTTATCTGTCTAAGCGTCCTGACTTGCCGTAAAAGATCCGCGAGAATTTTCACTTGACACGATACATGGACAGTCTCATTGATTCGTAACTGTCAAGTATTATTTATGAAACATCACTTGCTTGCTCCTTATAAGTTTATGGTGTGTCCTTCATTGTTATCGTTGCTGAAATCACGACCAGATGTCTTTTATCACTGATGACTGTGAATTCACGTCAATGTCAAAATGATTTCATAAAGCGTTTAAGCTGATGCAGCTGTGCCGAATGTATTTAAAGACGTTTTGTCTGTGCAGCGAAAATGTATTTAATATTTGACTAAAAGATTCCTAATAACAACTTTGAAAACAGTTTATATCTTTGATTGGATCTAATTTCCACTTTTATCAATGACAGTCAGTCAGTCAGTTTTTTTTGCTGATTTAAACTGTAAATCACAAAACGTGTGTCTATTTTTCATGGGGCGTGTTCTAATAGTGGGGAGTTTTTCAGACATATGAATTCAACACAAATGCCGTTGTTGTTCAGAATAATATTTAGACAATTTTATTACTGACTTTATAAAACAAATCTGTCTTTCATGTTTTTTTGTTACTGTAACTGAACACAATGCTAGTGGTCCTAATATATTTGTCACTTGTTTTGAACGAAGTTTTATAAACCAGAGGTGCCTAAACTTTTTACTATGAAGGGTCAAAAGTTGATTAATTGAGGTGTGCTGTTTCATGGGATGTTTCTCTAGTGGTGGGCCAAATCAAAGGTCATCACGGGTCACCTTTGGCCTGCTGGTCCTGGTTGGGCATCTCTGTTATAAACCGTTTCATTCAGTCAGTGGTGACAGCATTGTCTCTGTCTTTTAGCATGTCTGTCTTATGCAGAGGTGCGGTGTTATGATCTGCCGGTACTCTACAGTGTATGACCCAAATGAGAAGGTAAGTCTGATAATAGGAGTGTTTGATATTCATGGATGCTTCACTTTTCTTTACTTGTGCATCCTTGTTTCCTTTCCTACATCTTAGTGCATGAACACCATACTATTTTAATGGATTTATATAATTTTTGTTTGTTAGACCATATGATAGGATCCAAGTGAGATGTTGGGTAAAACTAAGCTGTCTTTTGTCAATTGACGTGATTAAAGTGACAAGTGATTAAAGCTCTGTGAACACTCGAGAGCTAGTTGTCTGCATTATTCCATATGTACACTACTGTCAAAATATATTTTAATGATTTTAAATAAAGTCTCTTCTGCTCACCATAGTTGCCTTTATTTGATCAAAACGACAGTAAAAACTGTAATATTGTGAAATATTATTACAATTTAAAACCACTGTTTTCTATGTTTATATTATAAAATGTGATGCAAAGTTGAATTTTAGCCGCCATTACTCCAGTCTTCAGTGTCACGTGATCCTTCAGAAATCATTTTAATAGTCTGGTTTGCTGATTAAGAAACATTTCTTATTATTATCAATGATGAAAGAGCTATTTTCAAAAGTTTGAGGTCAGTAAGATTTTTAAAGAAATTAATGCTTTTTTTCAGCAAGAATGCACTAAATTGTAATTCATAATTTTACAAACCATTTCTATTTTAAATAAATGCTGTTCTTTTGCACATTCTATTCATTAAAGAACCAGTAAAAATGTATCGCAGTTTCCACAAAAATACTGAACAGCAAAAAACTGTTTTTACTGTGTTTTTGATCAAATAATTACAGCCTTGGTGGGCAGAAAAAAACATCTTTCAAAAACTTTCAAATTATTTCAAACCTTTGACTAGTAGTGCATGAATATTTATGTCTAAAGTAGGCTTTAGAAGCTGATTTTCAGAGGATTTAGTTTGTCATTAATGTTAGATGTTTCTGCATATTAATTTATCATTAGATCATCAAATGCTGCAATCTGTTGCAGCATTTTTGATGAAAATAAATGGGATTGTTTTTTAGTGAGAGTGATGAGTAGCATCTGAAAAGTTTCCACTTTTCCAAGATGACGGACATGCCGACATGTCTGGAGCAGAATGTGGTATCTACATATAGACATCCATGGAGGAAACAAGGAAGCCTCGGTTATTTTGAGAAACACCCCATATCATATCAGGGTCAAAATTCTCTTCACATACTCTCTCAGCCTCTACACTGCCAAAAGCCTGTTGCATCCATGTAGCTTTGATGTTTCATTCTCCCATAATCAGCCTTTGCCTGGAGGTGTGTTTGTGTGTTGTGGGAGTGGGGGTGTAGCAATATGAGCAAATGGGGAAATATGCTTTGAGTTTAGGAATGTGTTCTTCAATACACGTTGCCCTAGGCCAATCTTGACACATGGTTTATAGGCAGACACTTCCGTAAGTTTTTCCATAAATTGTTTACACGTGGCAGACAACATTAGCAAAGCCCCATGCTTTGATCTTATAGGCACACTAACATCCACCTTAACAGTCAGTTTTAAACGTATGTATGTTTATTACTGCACTTTATGGAATAGATAACAGGGTCATGCCATGTCAAATCAACCAAATTTCGGAAACTTCCCCGGCTCAAATTTTCGAATTTGTTAATATTTTTTCTGTAGAAAGACAAACATAAATAGTGATGAAAGCCAAAATATTAAATGTCAAAGATGTATATTTACTGAGTAATCCACTATTTTGTAGAGGGGGGTAAAAAAATTTCAGGGGGGTAAAAAAAAATGACATTAGAAAGCTGGCAGCATCATTATTTTATTATGATCTATTATTATGAGTCTATTAGTAAAATCTATTGACTTTAGCAATTTTCGTTTCGTTATATGCCAACGGTGACAGTTAAAAAATGGCAAAAAGCAGTTATTTTGTTTTTTGCCTCCAGTTTGCATGCCTTTAACTAAAGAAGTATTAAAGATATCTTAATATCTTTTTAGATTCTGGTTCTTAACAAACGTTCCTTTTGGTATCTTCATTTTAAAGGCCCTCGGTGGTTCAATCCCAGAGATATGGAGATCTTAATGCGGCTCCATGAGTAAATTGTTAAATTGTACACATTTTCAGTGGTCAAAAACCAAATGTGGGTCATTTTACATACAGCTGATACTTTTTACTTTTAAAGAGAAATATCTGAAGAACAAATAATGTTGAAACTTGTGGTTTTCTATCAACACAATTGCATAGAACATACCTGTCTGAGTGCCGTAAATATTATTTTTTCCAAAGTTTGCATGCCTGTAACTCTAAAAGTATTCAAGATAGTTTAATATCCCCGCTACAAAATAGTGGATTACTCAGTAAATGTAAATCTGTCATTACATTAAATATTTTGGCTTTCTTCACTATTTATGTTTGTCTTTCCACAGAAAAAATATTAACAAAATAAAAAATTTGAGCCGGGGACCTCTGGTTGAGTTGACACGGAATGACCCAACAGTAGTTTATAAATAAAGTAGTTTTTCTACCTGTTGTACTTGATACAGTTTAATTATGATAGATGTTCATTAGGGGTGGGAGAAAAAAATAGATTATCCGATGCATCGCTATTCTCTCTTCAACGATTCTGAATCGATTCTGAAATGTTCAGAATAGTTGAAGAGAGAATCGCGATGCATCGGCGAATCGATTTTTTTCGATTTGAGCATGGTTTTTCCTCGCATATGGCACGTATGTGTGCTAGAGACAATCGCGGTGGGCTTCATTGCACAGAATATGCGCTGTGAGACACGTGCGCATTGCTTGACAGTGTGTGCTAACACCTGCCGTTATTTCAGTATTTTACTTTAGATATGCTTTCATTTATGCCGTTTGGAATGCAGTATGTATAAGATGCACGAAAGTTCATTTATGCCGTTTGGAATGCAGTACGTATAAGATGCACGAAAGTCACATACTGACAGACTTTCACGTGTGCTTTGTGTTTGATGTCCTGAAGCTCGATCTCGGCTGCGGTTAAATGCACTTGCATCTCCGAATACTTTTATACGAAATTGATGTAATCACAGTCAGTTATGTTTTCAGAACAGGACAAAACTTCTGATATATTAAGGGTTAGTTCACCCAAAAATGAAAATTAGCTCATAAATTACTCAGCCTTAAGTCATTCTTTCAGACGAATCCAGTCAGAGTTATATTAAAACTACAGGATCAAAGGAAGCAAAGTTTCCTTACTTTAGCAAAGGAAAACCTCTCTTGGCTTATATCAAAATCCTCAGACATTGTGCAGTAATATTGAATATTGAGAATGTGACGCATCGTGATATGGAGTTGAATCGAATCGTTGACATGATAATTGTAATTGAATTGAATCGTGAAACCAGTGAAGATTCACACCCCTATTTTTAAGATGGCAGTACTGACTAACAGAGATTACAACTATAAATAAAAAGCATAGAAACTGCAATTTTGGTTAAAATGTAAAGTTGTATTTGCACAGCAGAAGAATTAGTTAGGAAAAAATGTAGATCAAGAGTTGTTTTGGAATCGGATCGTGAAGTGCCTAAAGATTCCCACCCCTAATGTTCATCCAGTTCTTATATTCAGTTCTGCACTTAGAACTTGATCTCTAAGATCTTTATCTCTTCTCTCTTCTTGTCATCTAAAAAGCAGTGAGTGTTGAACAGCTTTCACTTACAGCTAAATGAGTTGAGCTTTAGTCAGCGTTAGAGACACACACTGTGGACAAATCAAGTGTTGACAAAACAGATGTCTTAATCGCCCTGTTCCCTTTTCCTTTCCACAGACCTTTGATAAAATCCTCATTGCAAACAGAGGCGAGATTGCCTGCAGGGTGAGTGAGAGAGTGTGTTCTTCACCAGCAAGGATCCTTTCAGTGTGTTTAAGGCAAAACATTAGATTTGTCTTTCCATTATCATTTTAAATCAGGGTGAAGTCCTACATGTATGATCTTTACATGAAGTTTCTAGATGTCTTTTACCTTCAATACAGTTTTACTACTATGAAATAAAAAAAAAACATTCCCATTCATGTGCAGTTAAATATTCTCTTTGTTTCCATTCATAGGTGATTAAAACATGTAAGAAGATGGGCATCAAGACAGTCGCAGTTCACAGTGATGTGGACTCTAGTGCGGTGAGAGAAATGAATATGACCTAAATAAAAAAGACAAATACATGAGGTTCAAAAGTCTGAGAGCACATTGTTTCAAAATCTAAGTTTCTGCTGTAAGTTTATTTATTGGTTGTCATTACGTATTAAACTATTCTGTTTCTTATCATGAAATTGGCCTTGATGCTGGAATGGCATAAAAAATAAGAAGGCAAAGGTTTTAGGATTTTGAAGTATTTAAAGCAAATAAATCGAATAATTTTACTCACCCTCATGTTGTTCCAAAGCTGTATGACCTATTTGAAGAATGCTGGTAAAAAAACAACAACAATTGGTTACTGTTTATCTTAATACAGGTTTGGAACTTCATGGAAGTGATAACAGAATTTTCATTTTTGGGTGAACTATACATTTTTCACTTTAACTTAAATGATGGTATCATTTAATTAAAATTCTTGTATTAAATTAGAAAAATGCTAAATAGAAACATTTCTTTTTGACCCCACTGTAAATTATGTTTGATAATTCATTAAAAACTTCCACATATCAAAGAAAAGATTACTAATACAACTGCCCGTATATGCTGTTCATGAAGACTATGAAGCATTTGAAACGAATAAATAGATTGGCTGAAGCAGGCTAGTCATCTGGAGGCAGTCTGGTACTGATGTCTAAATTAGAGCCCACTACACTTTTACAAGCATTGCAAGATAAACCGAAGCTTTTGCTCCTCTCACCTTTATTTTTTCATGGAGTGTAATCCTCTATTGCCATGATTGATAGCTGTCAGTTGTCACCCCCTCCTATTCCATATGCATGAGAGTTTGATAGAGGCAGTGTTTTAAACTCAGCTCGTCCCCCTGCTGTGTTCTGTGCTGGATTGGAGGTGGGGATCTTTTGCATTTGATTTGCAGCTTCCAAAGAGCATCTAAATGAAGATGTTTAAACCAGAGCAGTGGGGGATAATCTGGACTCTGTATGGGGGAACACATTCCTAATGCAGAATCTTTCTTTCAACTCGACTTTTTATCTTTTCTTATGTCATTTTCTGAAACATCACGAAAGAAAAAATAATTTCTTTAGAAATTTAGCGTTTACATTAAAGTGGTCCATTAAAAGTAAGCCGGATCTCACATCCTCTCTAGTTAACAGGGTTGGTGCTGACAGAAAAATAAGTTTATTAGGCTCTTTAATGAGACTGAATACTCATTAAAGAGATCACTCACTAGAGATGGGTTAGAGGTGGGGATCTTTTGCATTTGATTTGCAGCTTCCAAAGAGCATCTAAATGAAGATGTTTAAACCAGAGCAGTGGGGGATAATCTGGACTCTGTATGGGGGAACAAATTGACATTAGAAGTCCATATACTGACCCCAGGATTGATGTGTTCGAATATTTTACAAACACATTCCTAATGCAGAATCTTTCTTTCAACTCGACTTTATCTTTTCTTATGTCATTTTCTGAAACATCAAGAAAGAAAAAATAATTTCTTTAGAAGTTTAGCGTTTACATTAAAGTGGTCCATTAAAAGTAAGCCGGATCTCACATCCTCTCTAGTTAACAGGGTTGGTGCTGACAGAAAAATAAGGTTATTAGGCTCTTTAATGAGACTGAATACTCATTAAAGAGATCACTCACTAGAGATTTGTCTGTGTGATTCAAAACCTTGACCAAGTAGTGTTTATTTTAATTTAAGAAATTGTTTCTGTAAACAAAAAGAATTTACAGTCGGTTAAAAATATCCAATTCAATAATCACTTCTTCAGTAAGATGATCCTTAAAGTCAGAGGTTGCTGTATGTGGCTGCTTCAGACTGTTGGGCTCATTTGAGTGCCTTGGAAACTCCTCTACCTCTGTTTGCGTCACCCTCGTTAAATGTGAGGGAAAACAACTTTGTGTCCCTTTTTACACATGTGTGGAAAACATTAGCAGAGAAGCAGCAGTTGGCTAGCGAGTCTTTTCCAAACCTCCCCTGTTGATGCAGTTGTCAATATTAATGCTTCCCCATTGTGTGGTCTGTCACTCCGTCAGCTCACTGTCACAGTTGCTTCACACCGTGTGTGACGACATCTTGGCCACACAGACATTTGCACAGACGACTAACTGGAATTAACAACTATGAAAATAAGTGTTTAAATATTTAAAGTATTGGGTTAAAAATCTGGGTAAACATTTTTTTTACATAAACTATGTTATAACCAGTATTGCATGTTATAAATGCCTATAACATGCAATACTGGTTATAACATAGTGAAAAATGTTGATTTTTTTTAAAGTACTTCTTTTGCATGCTTTCCTGAAGCTCAAACTACATAGCCTGACATTAGCAACACCCAGGTCGTGGGTTCGATTTCCAGCAAACTAAATCTAAATGTTCATGAACTGGTAAAGATGTACGCCTTAAAGGCAGTGTAAGTTTCAGTGGTTAAAAGTATTTGCCAAATGCATAAATGTAATTCCCTTAAAAGGGTGGTTGAGAAACTGGCATAAAAGATACAAGAAAAAAAAATACACTAAATAAATAAATAAATCAGGTCTAAATAATAATGCCATAAATAATGGAATAAATGGGTCGAATTGACCTGTAAACATCAAAATAGAAATTTCGGTCAATTTATTTTAAGGTCCAATTCTCACCATTAACAAACCATTAACTACGACTTTTGCCTCAATAAACTCCTAATTTGCTGCTTATTAATAGTTAGTTTAGTAGTTGTTAAGTTTAGGTATTGAGTAGCATTAGGGATGTAGAATATGGTCATGCAGAATATGTGCTTTATAAGTACTAATAAACAGCCAATTTCGAGCATGCTGCCGCGTCATTACGTCACGTCTGTAAACATAAAAAAGTTGTCCCAGCTAGTAGACTATCGCATGTGAGGATCCTGCAGGTGAGTGCCGACTCACAACCCACGCAAGGAAGATAATTCCACAAACAGCTGCAATTGCAGGTTTTCAAACAGTGATGGCGACAAAGAGGCAAAACTTACGAACTGCAGCTTTAATAATAGGCCTGCTAATAAACAACTAGTTAATAGTGAGAATTGTACGTGCATTCCACAACAGATCAGAGTGACACTTTGCAGGCATGCTAATGAGCCTAAATGAGAGAAAGTCACGAAATGCAATTTTATATATATATATATATATATATATATATATATACATATATTGACTTTGACTATTTTCCTGTGATTTCATTCCATTAGGTTCACGTAAAGATGGCTGATGAGGCTGTGTGTGTTGGTCCTGCCCCTACAAGTAAAAGTTACCTGAACATGGATGCTATCATGAACGCCATCAAGCAGACTGGAGCTCAAGCTGTAAGTGTGTGTGTGTGTGTGTGTACATGTGTAAGGTAAAACACAGGGGAATTTAGCACAGTTGGAGCCTAATCCATGTTGGTGTAAACAAGGACATATATTATCATATGGTGCTCTGGACAATGTTATTATCTATAAACTGAGTGATGCGATGAAGTTGTTAAATGTCACTTGTATAACATTAATTCTATGGATGCATGCAGGTAAATAATTTTGTCTCTTTCTCTGTCTTATAGGTTCATCCTGGCTATGGATTCCTGTCTGAAAATAAGGAGTTTGCTAAGAGACTGGTGAGAAAGAAATGTTGATAGTTAAAGAAAAGAAATATTTAAATGAGTTTGTGTTAGAGTTGGGGGGGCTGAGTAGCCCCTTCACTTATTGTTCTACATAGGCCAGTGTCCTTCCCACACACACACACACACACACACACACAGTTTTCGTAATTAACAGCTCAGACCCCCCAGTAGTAATTTAATTAAAGGTGTGAGTTCTAATGTGAGAAGATTATTTGCAACCCAAATGAAGGTAGAAAGGCCAAAAGGGTCATTTGATAAAGAGACTCATTCCACATTCACATTCAGTTCCATTTTTTCTTTTTTCTTTTGAAGGACAGTGCTGTATTTCTTAGAATGTAGCCAGTTCTGATAGTATTAGTCCATTTACGTAATATTGAGTGTACTTGCATTACCATTCAATAGTTTGGTTAAAAGAAGTCTCTCCAGCATCTATTTGTGAAATATTACTTCTATTTAAAATAGGGATGCACCGATACCACTTTTTCCAGTACTCGCCCGATACCGATACTTTTATTTTTGGTACTTGCCGATACCGAGTACCGATACTGATATTTTTTATTGCATTTGTACATTTTTTAAATATTGGGTACAGAAACCAAAAGGGTATGTATAATGATGTTATATTCATTGCATACATATACTTCGTAGTAGACATCCTTAACTCCTTTCTGCTGTCTGTTGTTCTGTTATCGGTGTTTCTTTGTTTGAATATGGCGCTTATCACATGCTGTGTGGTATCGGCGTTTGGTATCGGGGCATTTTAACGAGTACGAGTACGAGTACAGGAGACCAGTATCGGGCCCGAGACCAGTATCGGGTGCATCCCTAATTTAAAATAACTGTTTTCTATTTGAATGTATGTTAACATTTGATTTATTCCTGTGATGCAAAGCTGAATTTTCAGCAGCCACTACTCCAGTCTTCAGTGTCACGTGATCCTTCAGAAATCATTCAGATATGCTGATTTGCTGCTCAACAAAAATTCTTATTAATATCAATGTTGAAAACAGTTGTGCTGCTTCATATTTTTGTGGAAACCATGATACAATTTTCATTTTCCATTTTATATTTATAAATGATTATTTGATAAACAGGAAGTTCAAAAGATTATTTGAAAGAAAACTTTTGTTACATTATAAATGTCTTTACTCTAACTTTTGAGCAATTTAATGGATGCTTTCTGAATAAAAGTATCACTTTCTTCCAAAAACAAACAAACTAAAAATCTCCCTAACCTCAAACCTTTGAACGGTAGTGTAGGGTAGTTGATATTCAATAATCCTATAGAAGTAGCTCACCCAAAAAGTGTCAATGTCCTGATATTTATTCCCTATGCAATAACATTTAATAGGAACGGGAGCGTTCAGGCTTCAAAGAGGACACACAACTTATAATAGCTTTATACCAGTCTTAGCTTTGAGTGAGCAACAGACCAAAATTGAAATAATTGTTTATTGATATTCTTCCCCTCCAGAGAAATGTTAAGTGCTAAGAGTCAAATCTAAATGTGTTAGATTTATGAACAAATAATTCAGTTTAGTTTAGTGAAACTAAACTAAAGTGATTAGTGTATTTTTTTTAAATATTGGACTCAAAAGTATGATTTGTTCAAGAATTGGGCATTGCTACTTCTCTTTTAAACTCTTATGGAGAGATGGGGCAGATGTTGAGAATTTCAGTGAATTATATATTTTGTTCCTCCTCACTATTGTATGGCTTCACAAGGCATTTATAAATAACGCACAAGCTTTATGGACTACTTTTATGGTAGTTTAAAAAGCTCTGATAAGCTTTTATAAGTTTAAAAGCTCTACTCCTCTGT